CAGGGATGTACCACAATTTGTTTAATCATTCACCTGTTGGGCAACAGAACATTTAGATGGTTTAACTAGTAGATCTACTATGAGCTTTCATATTCAGCTTTTTGTGGAAACATAATTTTTTACTTCTCTAGGATGAACGTTCAGGATTGATAGAGCAGGATCACTGGTAAGCATATGTTAACTTTATAGGAAACCACCGAACCACTTTCTAAAGTAGCTATATCATTTTGCATTCATGCCAGCAATGTATGAGAGTTTTAGTTTCTCTATATCTTGGTCAGCACTTGATATTATTAGTATTTTTATTTTAGTTATTCTAGTAGGTATGTAGCAGTATTGAATCGTGGTTTTAATTTGCATTTCCCTAATAGCTAATAATGTTGCATATCTTTTCATGTGCCTGTTTGTCATACTTATATCCTCTTTGGTGAAATGTCTGTTCAAGCCCTTTACCCATTTTTAAATGTTGTTGTATTTTTATTGAGTTTTGAGCGTTCTTTATATATACTGGATACAAGACCTTTGGAAGATACATGATTTGCACTATTTCCTCCCACTCTGCAGCTTATTTTCTCATTCTTTTGATCGTGTCCTTAACAGAGCAAAGCCTTTTAATTTTGATGAAGAATAATTTATCAAATTTTTATTTTATGGATGGTATTTTTGGTGTTATCTCTAAAAGCTCATCATCTAACCCCAGGTCATAAAGATTTTCTCTTATGTTTTCTTCTTGAAGTTTTGTAGTTTCATGTTTTATATTTAGAGCTAGGCTCCATTTTGAGTTAATCTTTGCATAAAGTGTGAAATTTAGGTCAAATTCACATTTTTACATAAAAAGACAAATTGTTCCAAAACCATTTATTGAAAAGACTATTCTTTCTTTGTTGAATGGTTTTTGTCAATTGCCTTTGTCAGGGATCAAATGGCCATATTTGTATAAATCTCTTTATGGACCATATTTTGTTCTGATTTGCTTGTTATCTCTTCACCAATTCCATTCCACTGTCTTGATCACTGTAACTTTATAGCAAGTCCTAAAAATTTTTAACTTATACTGAAAGAGCTCCAACATTATTCTTTTTTTCAAAATTATTTTAGCTCTTTGAATTTCTTTTCTCTCATATAAATTTTAGCACAAACTTGTTTATATCTACAAAAAAATTACTGGGATTTTTATTGGTATTGCTTAAAATTATAGCTCACTTTGGGAGAACTGGCATCTTTATTATGTTAAGTCTTCCAAACAATGAACACTGTATGTCTCTCCATTTATGTAGGGCAACCAGAAGCCCTTGGGGCTGTTCTGTCTATGGAGTAGCCATTGTTTTTCTTTACTTTCTTAATAAACTTCCTTTCACTTTGCACTTTGCATTCGCCCTGAATTCTTTCTGGTGCAAGATCTGTGAACTCTCTCTTGGGGTCTGGATCAGGACCCCTCACTGCAACATTGTGACTTTAAAAATAAGCTGGGTCAACAACCCAGTACAGTCTATGGTCGTGGCCATAATATACCCTGTGGTGGGGTTATCGGTTATCATTTTGATGTTTCTTTCTTCTTTCATTTCTTTCATTAGCATTTTGTAATTGAACATGTAGCAAATATAGCATGTTAGTTATGATTATTATATAGCTACAGTTGCTAGATTTGTAACTATTTTATTTTTAGAGCTATTACAAATGGTATATATTTTTAAATTTTAGTTTTCAATTTTCATTGCTTCTATATATAGAAATACATTGATACATGTATATTGACCTTTTATTCCTACTATGTGTTTATAGAATCCATTAGAAAATACTGAATAGTTTCTCATGTTACTCACTCTCAACAGAGAAAGTAGAGCATTAGACCCCTGAGGCTAGGACACAGCATAGAAACAGGACAGGAAGGAAAAATGGTGTATGTGGAACAACTAGGCTTTAGGTAAAATCAGACAGCTTTGGGATCCTAGCCTGTCTTCTCAAATGTGTAACTTTGGGCAATCCTTTTGCATAGGACTCGCATACTGTAGGTTCTCAGCAAACATTAGCTTTCCTTGATGAAGACGGAAAAACCTAGAGCTGTCATTTTCAGATTTTTTTTTTCCTTTTAAGCACTGGAGCTCTTTCTTTAAACAACAGCCTATATATAAAATTCATAAAAATGGAACTGCTCTAACAGAGTGGTAGTGTCCTAGCTGTACTTGTGTGAGTTTACTTCTGGACCTTACCCTCTCTCTTCAGCAATGCCCACTATTCCCTGGAATATCAGGGAGCACTGTTTGAGAAAAAATTGTTTGCAATATTGATATAAGAGACCCTATGAAGTGGCCAGACTCCACAGGGCCAGAGAAGAGCAGCATGTACAGCCTTGCTACTCAAAGTATAGTTGCTGAACCATCAGCATCACCTGCATCCCAGGCTCATCTCAGACAAACTGATTGAGAATCTGCATACCTGTTGTAATCATTGAGCTGATCTGTGATCTGTGCACACCTTAGAGTTTCAGAAGCTCTGGTACAATGTGAGGTGTAGAGAGAAAGCACATGATAGAGTCATCACAAAATGTGAGGCATACAAGAGAGTGCAAATAAATTTTGCCAAGGCTGCATTCCATCAATCCTCTTTAGAAATGCAATAATTTGTGTGCTGTTATTAGTATTTCTCAGACATCTTCAGGGAGTATGAGTTTATTAATAATAATAATTATTACATCACTGTAATAATTATTACAGTGTAATTACACAACAAAGTAAAGTTGGTTCAGCAACTATACTTTGAGTAGCAAGGCTGTACATGCTGCTCTTCTCTGGCCCTGTGGAGTCTGGCCACTTCATAGGGTCTCTTATATCAATATTGCAAACAATTTTTTCTCAAACAGTGCTCCCTGATATTCCAGGGAATAGTGGGCATTGCTGAAGAGAGAGGGTAAGGTCCAGAAGTAAACTCACACAAGTACAGCTAGGACTTGTGTGATATAATAATTAATAATAATAAAAGGATAATACGTTTTACTTATCTTTTTACTTTGACCCTTCGGATCCATTTTTGGATTTCTAAATTATCTTTTTATTATGTCAACAACCCCCACCGTCATGAGGATTTGTGGCTTGTAATTACTTTTATTAAGAAAAACACACTTTCCAGCCACAAACAGAAAATCCATAATAATCTAACTCTATAATGCGATTTGTTAATAAAGTATTAGCTATTTGCATAAAATGGTGCTACACAGATATTATAAAACAAGACAGAGAATACCCAGGCAAGAATCTCTTCCACAAAAGTGGCTCTGCAGCTTTCCAATCTAACTCTGGTGCTCTTTTCGTAAATGATTGATTTTTCCACATCCGAATACTGAGAAATCTATAATCAAGCTCTGATGTTAATATTGTGCCAGGATGAAAAACAGAATAATAATGACACAGCAGGGTTACAACATTGAAAGAGAAATTGGGAATTAAGCATATTGAAAAGGGGATTTATTATCTATTTGTTTTGTGATCTGACCTGGAGTCCAGAAATTATGGCATCCTTCCAGTCCCTTCATCTATAAAGTTTGGATGAGTTATGATTTTCAAATTATTCTATAGCTATGAAACCCTTTGTGCAAAGGAAATGGTATATGGCAGCTCTATGTGTGAAAGAAATGAAAAAGGGACAGCAAGCTGATGTGGAGAGCCAGGTTTAAAGCTCATGGGCAAGTTTCTCAGGTGCTGTTGAGCTCTGAAATGGAGCAGTGCTTGAAAATCAATTGATTTAAGACAGCTGGTATTTACCTAAATTATTTTATATTTATTCTTCATTTTAAAAAAATTACCGATTACAAAGATGAGGGGACTCTCTGTTAAAGCAGGTGGGCCCTGGCTGTCACTAGGTTGACATCAACTATATCAAATATCGTTGGTTCTTTCTGAGCAAGGTATTTGCCATTCTTCCTCTCCTTGCAGTTTCCACAGCAACTGTCCTAGCTCAGGGAAACACAATTCCTGCCTGGCAATTACAACAGCCTCCCAGATAACCTCCCCCTCCACCTCCAATTTTTGGGAGACAAAGCCAAGGTTCATACATACCAAACAGGTAGGACATCCTGTAGTTTGCTCGTGGCTTTGTTATAAAGGCCTACTACTGTGGAGAGCAGAATTCAAAATCCCTTGTGTGCCATGAAGAGTTCTCTGCTATTTCATCTCTACTCAGCTTTCTCTTTTTCATGGCTCCCTTTGGCAAGCACTATAATCAACAGTAGTTATCTCTCTCTTTAATATGCAGGCTACCCAGTGTCTTTCTCTCACTACTCCCTTTGTCTATTACATCTTATCTTTTCTCTGTGTTGTCTAAATAATACCCACCTTTCAAAGACTCAGTTCAAATGCCACCTCCTCCCTGAAGTCCTTCCTGAGTTTCTGTCCTTCCAAAGTTCTCCCCATCCCTGCCCCTCAAACTAATAATCACACTATTACTATATATATATATGTATATATGTACACCCCACTCTGAGGAATTATTCAGTTCCAGTTTGATTATAACTCCATACATCTAGTTCATTTTATATTATTATCGTTTTCATTGCCTCTCATATTGGCTCTTTAGAGGATGCATCATATCTTATTCAATTCTGTATATCTCATGTTGTGTAGCATACACCAGATACTCAGCAGATATTTGGTGAAAAATGATAGTCTGGCTTTTACAATATGATGATTGCCTCCCTGAGAAAATCCATTAGAAAAACAATTGTATCAATAGGAGGCCGGGCGCGGTGGCTCATGCCTATAATCCCAGCACTTTGGGAGGCCGAGGCGGGTGGATCACGAGGTCAAGAGATCGAGACCGTCCTGGTCAACATGGTGAAACCCCGTCTCTACCAAAAATACAAAAATTAGCTGGGCATGGTGGTGCATGCCTGTAGTCCCAGCTACTCGGGAGGCTGAGGCAGGAGAATTGCTTGAACCCAGGAGGCAGAGGTTGCGGTGAGCCGAGATCGCNAAAAAAAAAAAAAAAAAAGAAAAACAATTGTGTCAATAGGAAAAGGGGGTTACAGCTATTAAATTTAAATCCATAACAAAATTATTTTTAACATGAATTTCAAGAATCAGATTTTGAAATAACTCTACGTATATTTTGTTACTGTACACAGATATGTATTGAGAAAGCATAACTCACCAAAAAATAACTTGTTGAAATGCATTCTTCACTTGCATTTAACTCATTCTTCAGGAGCTTCTTGATCTCCTCTATTACCCTTGATCCTGAACTTGGGCTTTTGCTTACAACACAGTTCCTAACTACTCACACTGAACCAAATATAAGGAGGGTAACTGAAAGAACAGGATGAAACAGAGAAGTCAGTTACCCAAAATAATTATGAGTTTCTTTGCTTTGCACAGGAAATTTAAACTATGATATCATAGTCCCCGCTAAACAGGAAGTATTGAGAAAGAGAGAAATTTACCCCCGCTGACCCCATTTCCATTAGCATTCTGCCCTCCCTTCCCTTGGGTATTGTTGGGGGCTTCTCTCTTCACTCATCTACATCCCTCCTCCCAGTAGGAGAAAGAGTAGGCTGACTCATCAGGGCTTCTGTAGTGCATGAGTCATGGTTGTAGCTGTGAGCAGCCTGGGTACCACAGCTCGTCAGCTCCTTTCCACTCTCAGGCCCACAGCTAGCCGGATAAATGAATTTGGAGCCTGCTTCTCAGATGGAGTCAACCTGTAAGGGAGATAATATGGTTTGGATTCAGGAGCGTATTAGAAAGATTTAATGCTGGCCTCAGTTCCAAGCTGTGTCCTCTAATCCAGACATTAGTAGACTCTGCATTTTGAGGGATGTGGGTATTTTCTCTACCCATTGCAAGATCTATACTGGTTCCCTTTGGCCTGCTATCTCTATCAATCAGAGCATGGAAAGGAGGGGAGGTGAATCTTAGGCCCTCCAGCCTCTGACACAAATACTCCCTTGCATTTGTGAAACGTTTCATAATCTATAAAACATATTTATTTCTAGTAGTTTGCTTGATTTTCACAACCCTGAGAACTACCTAGCCTTGCCCATGACCTTTTCAGTGGCAGAAGATCCAAGGCACTGACACCAGGAAAATGTTCTCTTTATCCATCCTGAAATTGGCCTTGGCAGTGACTTGAAGATTCTTTCTATCCTGTTTCTTGTGAGCTAGGGCTGGGAATTTTTTTTAGCAACAACCTCAAACAGAGCTTCCCTATAAATTGGGGGACAAAGCCGCAGAGAGTAAGATGTCCATAAAATGCATGTGAGATGAAGTGACGGGAAAAAGAAGTGTAACTTGTAGGTGATTAGCTTGGAAATCCAGCAGCCAGGGCAGAAATGCTGGACAAGAAAGAGGATTTGAAAAAGCAAATCCTCATTCCCTGATTCCTCTGACTTCCAGGTGATCAGGAGAATCTAATTTTAAAATCTATAATAAACTATATCATATGCTGGTAGTAAGGAAGAGTTGAGGCTCTTGGAGTCTATTTGAAGAAGCTGATGATACCTACTGATACAGATACTGGAAAGCAGTTAAATATTTATGAACTTTAATCCATGTATGCCTAGTGTTCCATTATTGGAACACAAAGCTTGTGGTAGTTATTTATATCCAATTGCTCAAGGTCATCACCAAGGTTTGATTTTTCACACACAGAAAATTGCATAAATGGAATTATGGAATTAACCATAAATGGGTTAATTCAAATAGGAACAAAACTGTCTCCTATTTTCTTAACCCTCCCCCAAGCTAATACATACTGCTGAGGCTACCCACAACAGAAACTTGAGCCAGTTTTCCATTTATTTTCCAAAGGCAAGGAGACCCCTTCTGAAATTGTTGCTTGGCAACCTGTATTCAAATCTTCACCACTGGAGACTGCTCATGTAATCCGTAGACAAGACGCCACAGTCTTGACTCACATGATCAATAGGTATCATCGTCCTCCTCAAATAGTCTTTCAGCTCTCCAGGTGCCTCACTCAACATTTTCTCACTACCAGAGTATACTACAGTTTATTACAGATTTTAAAGCACATCACTGAACACACGTCTTTTAAAGCGGGGCTCTTGAGCTTTGGCTGCTGTCCTTCTGGTGGGTTCCACTTGGCATGTTTTTCCTCTGTCTTCCAGGCTAGCATTTACCTGCATGGTTTTCCTGGGTTCCTCCTATGTGGATTTCTCATACAACACCTTAAGGAAGAAGAAAAGAAAATGAACATTTATTGAGCATATATCATTTTCCAGGTAGGATACCACATTTATCCTTACCCCTTATAGGAAGTCAAGGCATTACATGGCATCTCACATTTATAAAATGGTCTTCCTTTATAATTCATATAAATTATTACTTCATTTAATCTTCACAATGGTTCTGTTGTGAGAAGGGCATGATTCACATTTCAGATCATGTGAAATACTGAGATCCAAGGAGGCTGATCAATACAAAGAGAGTTTTGAAAGAGCTAACACTTGCACCCAGATTAGTATCCATTCCAGCAAGCTCTGAAAGACTTACTTCCACATGAGACCGACTCTGAAGGCATGCAAAGAATGTCGACTTCAGAATCATCCAGATGTGGCAGTTCAAATCCTGGCTCTGCCGTGTCCTAGCTCTGTGGCCTTGATCAAGTCTTTTAACCTCATGCAGCTCTGGTTTCTTTATCTAAAATGGAGAAAATAATGCCTATCTCATAAAATTGGTGCATGATTTAAATGAGACACATTTTGCCACATGCCTGGAGCTTAATAGTTTTCAACAAACAAATGATCATTTCCTTTTCTATTCATCTTCTAGAGCAGGTCATCATAAATGGAAGCACAGATAGGTGAAAGGTCCTGGGTCAGAATCTGGAATTATATAGTCAGCAATGTGAGTACATGTTTATCAAAAGGGGGAATACCCTTTAAAAGTTGAAAGATGCTCTTCCAGAATGTATGAATCTCAAAATGTGTAAATAACCATTTTACCGAGCATTTCCCTCATGCAAGGCACCGTGTTGGGTGCTGAAGGGATATAAAAACATGGTCCTACCTTCAGAGAGTGATCTTTGGTCTGCATTGAATGTCTATTGTTCTTCCAAAGACAACTGTAGAAGGAAGCACAGATTCTTAGGTTCTAGGCTACTCCTGTGTCTCTAAGCAAGTATTCCATCCGTGTGTGGTTTCTTAATGAGTTTTCCTGCAACAACAGGGTCAAAGCAATGAAAGATAAAGTTTAAAACTTAAAAGAAACCTTTACAATCTTCCATTAATAGTACCCCTGGCAGTCTCTCAGAAGCAGGGCTTGCTGGGTCTCTCTCAGCACTTGTCTTCTGGTCTTAGAGGTCAGCCAGGCCTGCTTGTTCTAACATGGTTTTTTAAATTAGTGGGTCATGAAGTCAATTTAGTAAGTCTTGACCAGCATTTCTCAAATAAGAAAGACAAGACTAAATTAGAAAAAAAAAAAATGCCTTGTATTTATCCTCAGTAAACTTTTTTTTCAAGAAACATTAGCCTGTATAGGATATTTTTTACTGTGGGTGACCAAAAATGTTTGAAAAACATGTTCTAAAAAACAAAGTTCCAGGAGTGTTTGTGGAATAAATGGCAGATTTCAGTCTTTAGGTTTAAGTCTAGCACTTCAGAAGCTGTTTTATTCTAGGCATTGCTATTAAAATTTATGTAGCTGACATTAGATAAATGGTCTTCTTTTCTGTTGGCTACCTGAACCAATCAGGTAGATTTCCCCCTGATTTCATATTCATCTCTACCACCATCACAACCACCACCATCTCCTCCTATTGCCACAGGAGAATCTCTCTGGCAGGACCCCTAGATCTAGTCCCTTATAGGCTGAAGCATCCTTACTCTTGTTCTCTGCATCTCCTGAAAATGGATACAAAATGAGTCCATCACCAGAAAGAACTTAATCTAACTCATGACTGCTCAGAAATCCATATAGAGTTCAAAAGGTAGGGCAGATTTTGTTGACATTCTTATCCTCCTCAAGCCACTTTCTGCTGTGTTTCTATGTTTCTGCCTTGTATGGATGCCTGGGAACACCTTCTTTCCTGGGATTCCCTCCTTTTCTTCTTGGATAATTCAGTTTTGTTCTGCCAATATGCCTTATACTCTAACCAGCCAGCCCCACAAGCTGTTACCATTCAGATCCAAATCAACAAATTTTTTTTCCACTTGGATCTTCTCATGCTTTAGAGTGGAATTCTCTGAAAGCTAAAACCTTTCTCTGGCTGATACTGCTCACTCCTCTAGACATAACTCTAATACACTGTTATTTTTAAAAGGGTCAAAAGACATGAAGTGGACAGAGCACCCCATCCTGCCATACTTATCTTATCTCATTAGACTGGAGATGCGTTTTCTGCATCATAGGAGATCCTCACATTGGAAAGTCTGTGAGCTGACAATGAAATGTCTAAAGAACCCGTGTTTTTAACCTATTGAATAATGTTTGAACCAAAAGATACTTAAAACATAGATAAACATGAGTTTCCTCCCAGTGTCCTATAGTTTTATAGTTGTTCAGAGAAGGAAGTGTTGGTGATGACTAGGATGACAACAGAAGCCTTTGTGGAGTGGATGAGACTTGAACTGAACCTGGATAGGTGGGCAGAAGCAATGTAAATAGAGCTTTGTGTGGGGATCGCTCCCATGTAAGGCCCCCTAATGTGTGGGCCTCACCGGACGGTGAGCTTGAGCCCAAACACATTTTCCTGCTGGAGGCAGTCGAGCTATGGGAAAAAAGGAACTAAGAAATGACTGATGTTGCAAAAGTTTCTACTTCTGACTGCAATGATGCTTGGGCAAGGGTTGTGTGGTTTTGTTAGACATTGTGTCTCCACTAGGCCTCTGCATGACCTTTACGACTTTACTTTTCAAGAAGTTTAACTTTATCCATATGACTGCCTTGAACCCTAGATAATGACTTTATGGCTTAGCTTGTGACTCTTAGATATTGTTATTCACAAGTGTGTTTTGGTAAAAACAGATAAAGCATACCACCTGCCCACTTTTATGACCCTTGAATGTCATGCTTAAGATTGTTTTCGTGATCCTATATTTTGTAAATTTCCATTCCTCTTATTGTTGATTGTGTAAACACCTTTGATCTTAAGGTATATATTGAGACCCTGGACAAAAATAAATTCGCTGTTTAGGTGTTGCCTTTTCAGTCTTCCAGACCCCAGCTTTTCTGTCTCTCTTTATTTCTGCGCACCCCCTCTTACAGGTCGGGACCCTCTTGCTGGCCAAGACTTCCCAGTTGATCTTCCGTCGCCCACAGCTTTGTATACAAATAGGACAAATAAACATAGCAGAAAACAATCAGAAAACCCTGTGTGAATGAATGGACCAGGCTGGTGGGATGGAGAGATGGATTGGAACTCTGTAGGGAGGTAGCATAAAAATGCAGATTAAGACAAGATCCTCAAGGAAATACTTCAATGCCAGGAAAAGAAGGGAAGCCTTGGTTTTTAGCAAATGAAAGCCTTGATTTTGAGCCAAGCTTTCTGGGCAAACCAAGGCAAATGAAGCCTTGGTTTTAGGGAGATTAGCATCGTAGTTTGTGGAGCAGAATTTGGTACAAAGAGACATCCAGCAAAGATAGACCATAGAAGCAGCCACTACAGTAATCCAGACTTGAGGTAAACCAGGACACCAACCAGAGTGATGCAGTGGGAACTGAAAGGGAAGCATAAATACGAAGGCTTTTACAAGACAGTGTGTCATCAACCTGGGGCAGTCTGATCAGCCACATTTTATTTACGTACTCCGTCTTGAACCAGTTAATTTGCCCTTCAGATGTATTTTTCCTGAATATGTAAATTCTCATTAAGATACATGCCATATGCCTCCTTTGAAGCTAAGTCAGACCCCACCTAACGCTGGCCTTTACCTCTTTTTTCTCATTCGGTAATCAGCTCACTGAAGCAGATGTTACTTCCCGACTCCAGAGATGCCAACAGCCTCAGAAAGAAATGGATTATGGAACTGGGGTCTGCACTCAGCATGATCCAAATATGGAAATCAAACTGAGGCCTTCTTAGGCTCTGTGCCTGGCAGTAAGAATGAAAAAGGGCTTAATGTTGGGCCTCAAAAGACACTGTGGTTACCCGGGCACATTTACTTGCCCACAGAAGGTCTTGCCAATTAACACTAATGGTGTGCTTTCAATTTACCTTCACGGATTTATTTGACAAGTATTTACTGGCTGTGTACCACGTGCCAAATAAGGCAGTGGGCATAAAAAGATGCAAAGGGCACAGTCCTTGCTTTTGATAGAGTTTCCTGCTGTGTGGGGGGAGACAGACTTATAAACAAGTAAACAGTATTATAATGGAGTGCTCTGCCCTCTACTTGTCCTCTGAGCACCCAAAATTGTAATTGGATGCTGGAGAGAGAGATAGAGTTTGGGATTACGGTCTTCACATTGCATACTTTTCAATAATCACTTAAAAGGTCAAGAAACCACATATAAATACCTTACACTAAACATTTTTATTGAATAGAAGCAAAAATGAAAACCAGCTGGGCATGGTGGCTCATGCCTGTAATCCCAGCTGAGGTGGGCAGATCACCTGAGGTCAGGAGTTTGAAACCAGTCTGGCCAACATGGTAAAACCCTGTCTCTACTAAAAATGCAAAAAATAGCCAGGCATGGTGGTGTGAACCCGGAGTCCCAGCTTGTTGGGAGGCTGTGGCAAGAGAATTTATTGAACCCAGGAAGCGGAGGTTGCAGTGAGCCGTGATCAAGCCACTGCACTCCAGCCTGGGCAACAGGACAAGACTCTGTCTCATAAAAACAAAAAAATAAAAACAAGCAAAAAAGAAAAGAAAGAAAACTGAAATCAGCAAATCTGCTGGGAGGTTTTCCCAGCATTATTTTGCCTTAGGTCTTTATTTGACTGGTGTGGTTACACTGTCTAACGTTCCTTATTTTTCAGAAGCCTTGAACTTCATGATGCGGAGGACCCTACTCTCAGTTCCTAGAGTGAGTCAGACTGCCCATGCTTAGTGGTGGAGAATTCCACAGTCAGCAATAGGTACAGTGGGAACTGGAAGTAAGATAGCCTGAGCTCTTAGTGAAATCCTTATGCAGGACTTGTGAAAGTATAGTCTAGTGGGGTTTTGCTCTGGGAAGTTTAGGAGAAATGAATAGCTTGTTTGTGAACATCTAATCTGCTCTGTGAATTATAATCATTTCTTTACAGTCAGAATCCTGTCCCTCAATAGGTATTTCTTCCCAGGGACCACAACAGAAGTAAATCTTTGGAAAAGGTCAGCCCAGGATCAGCAAGTAAGGCATAGATTTTGTTGTTAGTCATTTAATTTATGCTCATCTGTAACAAACTGTTTGTCTTTGCTAAGAATTAAAGCCATATATCATTACGAGTCTTTCCTTTTGTTTTACAGTATTTTTTTTTCCCAGTTAAAATGAGGTAGTTTCTAGTGGTGAAGGATATGCAAAGTTGAGGCTAGAGAGGGCTAACAAAATGAATGTGGACTGGAAGCAAATGCTGTAATTATATTGGCTGTAAGGATTATTTTAAACCTTAGGAAGAAAGGAAGGTATTGAGAACTTTTTTTTGCTGTTTGTTTGTTTTAATAGAAACTGCAGATAGCATGTCTCTAAATAGTTTTAGGCTAGTTTCCTTGAAAAGTATACTGCCTCCTTTCCTTTCTCATATCCTTGTTAGGTTTTGCTAAATAACAATGTGAAGGGCCAAAAAAGCTTTTAAAGCTGATTTCCTTAAGTTTGTAATTCCTTGCCAGAAACTAGAGGTCTGATTGCCCATGCCCACTTCAGTCTCCTGGCTATTTATGAAAATATAAAATAAAACAAATTCACATGCCTCTCCTCCCAACACACACACACACACACACACACACAGAGACAGAGAGAGAGAGAGAGAGAGAGCATGAGAGATCCTAGTGCAAGACAGTACCACAGAAAAACATGTTCACATCAACTTAACTGCACTAAAACTGGAAGTATTTAGAGGAATAATAAATCCTATTAGATTATTTTCTTGTCCTCAAAGAGAGGTGCCTGCCGATCAACAGCCCTTTACAGAGAGTTAAGTCATACCTTGCCATTGGGCCTGTTGGAGACAGGGCCTGGATCTCGGGCGCCAGCCAAAATCTGCCCATTGAGACTGGAAACGCTGAGGTGAAATTACAGGGCTTTTGTGTTCTGTGCTTTTCAAGTGAACGTAAATAATTCAACAGCTGTGTTTCACTCCAGTGGAGTCCCCCAAATATTCACCCACCCCATAATTCATTTAAAGGGGTACATACCTAAGTAATTAGTGAATTAACCATTTTAGCTTGTGTAGCCAGGTGCCAGAGGTGGTCTTATGCAGATGTCAGGTAATTACTTAATATGTTGAGTTGAGGCAACAATCTAGTTTCTCTTTTTGCTGATCTTATGACTTTTTCTCTGTTAATCAAAAGATCCCAGATAATTGTATGAATCACCAAGGCACTGGAAAACATCAGTACAACACATGTTGAGCCTAAGATGCCCAAGGTCTAAATTATTTTCTAGTAATAGTGTTTCCACCTAGTTGAACATATTAAAGCATAACGTACTAGCCTTCCAATAAGTCTAATCTGGCTCTTCCTGGGAGGGGGGGGAGAGAGAGAGAGAGGAGAGAGAGAGAGAGCACCACTCTCGTTATTCAAATACAAAGGGCTTCATTTACTTTCACATTCCTTGGAGTTCTACTCAAGTCAAGTAAAGGGAAGGTTAAAGACTCACTCATTCAGGCCCAGTGTGGTGGCTCATGCCTATAATCCCAGCACTCTAGGAGGCAGAGGCAGAAGGATCAATTAAGGGCAGGAGTTTGAGACCAGCCTGACCAACATGGTGAAACCCCATCTCTACTAAAATAGCTGGATGTGGTGGTGCAAACCTGTAGTCCCAGCTACTCTGGAGGCTGAGGCATGAGAATTGCTTGAATCCAGGAGGTGGAGGCTGCAGTGAGCTAAGATTGCACCACCACACACCAGCCTGGGCGACAGAGCGAGACTCTGTCACAAACAAACAAAAACAACTCATTCAATAAATATTTTGGGGGTACCTACAACATTTAAGCCATTGCAAGTTGCGGTGGAACATGACAAATGCAGCACTTGGCCTCACAGACTTCCACAAGCTGTGTTGTTCACCCAGTGGAAGGGCGAGATTCAAAAACACAAGGAACTACAACGAAATGAGGTATGCACTAAAAAGGTGACCAGCAAAGTAAAGGGCCTGGGAATGCAATGTGAAGAACATTTCAAAGAAATTGGGAAGTTTAGGGATGTTGTAGATATTATTCTCTGTGGTTCAAGAGGATATAACCAAGACAAAAAGGTGGTGGATGTCAGTTCAATACAAAAATGGTATTAACATCTAGAGCATCCCAAACCAGCATGAACTGCTTTGAAAGGTGGCAAGAGTCTTACTCCTGTGTTCAAGTAGCCACCATCTCAGACATCACTACTCATTGGTCTTATGGAGACATTTTTATTTTTCGAGTCTTGCTTTCTCACCCAGGCTAGAGTGCAGTGGCATAATCATAGCTCACTGTAACCTTGAACTCCTGGGCTCAAGCCATCTTGGCCTCCCAAAGGGCTGGGATTATAAGTGCGAGCCACTGCTACCAGTCAATGTGGAGATATTTTTCATTAGGCAAATGTTTGCCTCAGATGACGTCTAATGAACCTTCCAATTTTGTGATTCTAAAGTTCTATACACCTGATGGCCAGTGACCACAGAAGTTACCAACTCCATTAAGCAACTCATTCTCCAACCTGAACATCCTAAATCCAGTCAAGCAGAGGACTGGAAGAGACTCTTTATTCCAGGTGGAACAATGTAATATAGCAATAGAAACTGCTCTCTCTTCTTACCTTTCTCTTACCACAGATTCACTCTTAAAGATCATGTCTCTGGAGAGATGGTCATTGACCAACAGTTTTATGGAAGGGGTTTTCAAAGTTGAATATTAATTTGTTCAAAGATACATAGTTTGTTGATGGCAGAGCCCAAACAGTAAGTTCCACTGTTTGAGCTCAGTTCCTTGTCTATGACAGATAGAACATAAACGGTAGAATTTGAATCATGCTCTGAAGAGCAAAACGACGGGAATATTTGACTGTGTCTGAGTCAGATGCTGAGCCTATGACATGGATTCATTTAGTCCAATTTCCAGTACTTGTTAATTCTAGAATGTTCCAGCTGCAGTTTTTGGAGTTGCCTAGCCAAAAGATTCTAAGCAGAAAAACCCTAACCTTCTTTCCCTCCATGTGCAACTCTTCTTTTTCCTCCTTTCTTCCAACTCCAACTTTGACGTTCCATGACTATTTATATAATCAGACACTTTGTTTCAGAAACAGTACAACCAATGCCTTTATGAAGGAATACTCTGCAAATGCTCGAAATCTCAAAACATTGTTCAAATCTCTATTCTCCCCCCTCTCTCTTTTATTTAATGAAAAGAACAATTAAAGAGATTTTAGGGGGAGGATCTGGCACACAACGCTGTTAACCACCTTTCAGGGTGTTTTCTTTGGAGAATATGATTACAGCTGTTCAAACTTTAAATTATTTACACTGAGCAAAAACTTTGATTTTTAAAAGTCATATGACTTTATATAAACTAAAAAATGGCAAATAATCAAAACTTGGCATTTTTCATAGACACATCTTGCCCATGGGCTGTAGCCTCTGAAGGGTGCTTGCTGGGGCCTTGGATTGCTGGGAAATGATAAACGAAGACTGAAGAACAAGAATTTTGCCTAGTGAGTCATATTGGGTTGCAGCTGAGTTTGAAAACAGCGGGTCGTCATCAGAAAGGTTTATGTGAAATCTAATGAATCAGAAAGAGAAAGCGAGGGGAAATGGTTTCTTTTCATACAGGGCCAGATTCTCATCTGATGTAAGTCTTGGAGAATTAGCTGACATATGGAAATTATCCCCATGTGGTCATATGGGATAGCAGTATGAGGAATCGTTAAAGGAACAGGAATATTTAGTGTTGAAAAGAGAGAAGATCTGGGTGGGACAGATCCCTCTTTTCAAATATTTGGAAGGTTAGCATGTGAAGAAGTGAGTATTGTGTGCTGCTCTCAAGGGCAAAACAGGGTCAATGGATAGACATTGGAAAGACAGGCTGTGGTTTAATATTCTCCTGTTTCCACTAGGGCCTCAGAGCATGGCTGTTTCCTCACAGCAAGATAGGCTCCTGTGAGGGGACAGAAAACTGTTTGTGGAGCTCCCCCCCACCCGCCCCACTGGCAACTGAGACGGGAGTTAAGGAGACTGACCCAGCTCTTGGACTGACAGTAGAGTTTCAGCCTACCAGGCATGGCTTGACTCCAAAGGCAACATCCACATTCAGTTGAGGCAAGCAGGCAGCAAGGAGAATGGAAGGCACCCGGGCTTTAGAATTAGGAAGGTCTAAGTTGAAACCCTAGCCCTGTCATTTATTGTCTGTGTAAAGTTGGGAGAGTTGCTTGGTTCCTCTGAGCTGCCGTTTCCTGATCTGTACAACGGAGATAACCTCACCAGTCCTGTTGGACATCTGTTGTTTCTGTCTACTCAGCAATTCCTCTTCCTACTTTAGTAAAAGCACCTTGATTTCTCCCAAGTCAAATAGAGCCCCAGTATCAATCAAGGTGAATTATCTGCCACGGACAGTTAAGCTTTGCCTCCCTGGGATTTTAATCTTGAGCAGAGTGACCCAAAGATGAAAAGTAGTTGAAGTTTATTCCTTCTGAGAATGGCATTATAAAGAGGTGTCCATCAATTCCATCACTTCCTGTGACCCGAATTTCCTGAGTTATCAAGTTGCTGTCTCCTTCTTGGGGCCTAGTTGTTTAGCTTCTTTAATTCTATGAGCTTCCTCATTTTTTTTTCAATAGACCGTGTTTTTTGCTTAAGTTAGCTGAATCCATTTCTCTGGTTTGCAAAAACAAAATAACTGCATCTATACCCCTACTTTAATAGGATCACTTTGAAGATTAAATGAGAAAATATACATAACCTGCTGATACAGCCCTAATGTCTGGCACATAATGTGTGCTCAATAAATGCTAACTTTTTTGACTATTGGGTACTGGGGGCCCAAGATAAGGGAAGAACAGTTCTAACAGGTGGATTCTGAATTTCAGCTATATACATCATCTGGGATATCTATTCTCAAATATTAGGCCCCAGCAACTGTCTGGTATAAAGAACTCATTGACCATTAAAGTTGGCCTGACCATGAGATTGGGTGGGACTTTCTAACTCTGGAAGTGATCAAGCTTAGATTCAAGGCCCCACCAGAAGGCCATAGAGAAGCTCTCGTATTGGGACTGAGGCCTTTATGGTCTCTTCCAACTCTCTGTGATTCCAGGTAAGGGATACTCTTACTGCAGTAAGCCTGTGTGCAGGGACAGGAGCCTCAGGTCACCCTAGCAGCCAGGACACACTTTTAAGTCCTGATTTTGCTTGACCCCTTGCCATGTGGCACTGTTAATCATCTCTCTTTCTGAGCTTTTCTGTGCTACCCCTCCTTGCTGATTTTCCTCCTATCTCATTTACAGTGCTTTTTCATGTGATGTTCCCTCTGCTCTTAACGCCTTTCTTTACTTCAACCTATTTGTCTTTCAAGATTCAGCTTAAGGCCTCGATCTATCCTGAAGCCTTCCCTTTCACTCTGGTGGCCCCAGTCTCCCTTCCTACTCCCCTCCCCAGTGGGCTTCAGTACCCTCTGTTCCAGTAGTTAACACACTGGGTTTTCATAGATAATTCCCACCCCATCCTACCTGCAGGAAAAATATCTTACACCATACTTTTGGGTCTTATTAGGGTCAGGATGTGTTTGTGTTTTTTTTTCTTTTTTCTTTTTTTGAGAGATAGAGAGGGTCTTACTCTGTCACCCAGGCTGGAGTGCAGTGGCATGATCTTGTGTCACTACAGCCTTGACCTCCTGGGCTGAAGCAATCCACCCACTTCAGCCTCTCAGGTAGCTGGGACTACAGACACACACCTCCACACCCAACTAATTTTTTTTTTTTTTTTTTGGTAGAGATGTGCTTTCACCATGTGGTCCAGGCTGCTCTTGAACTCCTAATCTCAAGTGATTCACCCTCCTTGGCCTCCCAAAGTGCTGGGATTAAAGGTGTGTGCCACCATGCACAGCGCCAGTTATTCTTATAGCTGGAGACCCAATTAATGCAAATGTACTGAAATGGGGCATGTCAAATACTTTTTAACTATTCCAACTTACCTGACTTTACTGCCCAGGAACACAGTCAGGACCTAGATAGTGATTCAACCTGAGCGGCTAGTGAGATGACAAGTGAACCAGATTGACTGAATATTTCAGGCCAGCACTTTAATTTCCTGCCCTAGGTATCTCTATCTCTAAATAATTTTCAGCATGTTTCCCCCAGAATCAGAGATTACAGGATAGTTCATGTAAAGTGCATTTTAATGTGCCTATCCCCTTC